ATGAATGAATGAATGAATGACCAGATGTATTGTGTAAGGGTGGAGGTACTCCTTGCAGGCTAGTGCTTACATTTGATACCCTGATATAAAAAAGGGAATCAAAACTGGGCGGATTTGCATGCTGAAAAATCAAACCGCATGACCAGTCATTCACTCAAACACGACTAGCTTTGAAAATAGTCACTTTCAATAGGGTAGCAGTGGTAACCGCGGTAAACTGGTTGTAATAGTGGTATGTATGGCTGAACCTTGAGAAGAGAGCTAATCTTCTTATCAAGGCTCCCATTCAGCTTCTACGTGTTTACAACATAATTTTTGTCGGATGTTCTAGTGCATTTTCATTTTCGAGCGAATGATGCAGGTTGCGTTCCTCATTTTCGCTTCGTTCTCTATCAGTGTGAACGCATTTGCAGTTGATTTTAAAGATGAAGAAGGTGAGTGCTTAACTATCACTAACATTTTGCATAGAATACGCCAAATTTACCTACAGGACCGTTTGTCCCGATCGCCACAGAACAATTCAAATCATTTCTTGGTCGACATCAAACAAAATGCGAAGAGTTTCAACATAAATGCAAACGAGTGGGTTAGGTTCAGTTACTGAGAAGCTAGCAAAAATGTTCTCTCATAGTTCGCAAAGTGCTTCTGTGATTGCAAAGAGCAGTTAATCCGCGCAAGTGATCTAGATGATGCGGCTGAATCTCTGACTGAGGAGCAGCGTAAAGAATCTGAGTCTGTGATGGTACAGTATTTACTTCTATTTTTTCATCTAAAAATAATTTTTTCAGACAAATCCTTGTGTGGGAATGTTCGCATATTGCCTCTCTGTCGATTTCTTCACCCTGAAGAGAATCCTCAGATTAGAGACACCGGATGCATTCTAATCGTTGATGTACAGCACATCTATTCTACAGGTTATTTACTTGACTGAGTCTACAATTATTTAACTCCTTAATAAACTGTTTGAATGTTGGTTTGTGCACAAATCATAATCACTGTCCCGGAGGTTGTGTCGCTGTTTACTTTGCGCATTTTCGGTAGTTCACTTCAGCTCGCTGATAAAATTAGAATTTTGATGTTGCGTGGTGGTTTCTCTGTTGACAAATGTGCTTATGGTAGATACGGGGACTACTTTTCATTTCGAAGATCAGCATCTCCGC